TAAGACTGAGGATGGTGTGTGTATGAAATATGTTCAGAACCAGCAAATCTGGAGAGACTATTAGTTCTGAGTGGGAGTGAAATGTTGTTTTGCTCTAAGCTTTGGTTTGGAGATTATAACACACATTGAGACGCCATCTGTCGGTCTACGTACCCCAACGGAAGTCCCCGTTTAGATCCGGAATGTCGGGGGTCCAGCTTGGATCCTCTTGGAACCGACGCCTGTAGATATGCAGCGGTTGCCGACCCTTCCAGTCTTGAGTTACTCCCAGGTCACGACAGTTTATTGGCATCAGAGAGACCCTGAAGGGGTCGTGATGGTTCAGCTTTTATTCTGAAGGAACCGTTGCAGCAGGTGGAACATGCAACAGATTTAATCCAGCTTGTCGTTAGGTTCTTTCGGCTTTAAGAGGAAAGTTACGGATTGGCTACTCCGATAACTTCTCTAGAATGCTTGGAACTGAAGTTAAGATGACGTGGGGCACAGTTTTATAATTTGGATGTTTTGATTTACTGTCAAATCAGAATTTGACAACAAATGGGGATTACACAAGCACCAACAAAACCACACCTTGCGTCAGATCTGGAAGGTTCTGATTGGATCAGGAAAAGGAAATGTGTCATGTGACTTTAGCATTACGTGTGATCAGTCTAGTGTAAATATTTAAAGTTATATTACTTATTATATACTATCATAGGATTATAATATCAAGTAATTAATATTCTGATTTCACAGATTGATTGAACATTGAGCTTCACAAGATTATTTGGACTAACAAAATTTATTAGATTATTATTTAAAGAGAAGAGTTCTTGGTCTTCTTTCTTCTTTCTTGTGCGGTCCGAGGAAGCAACAGTTTAGATAAGACCACAGAGCATGAGTGGCCTTGGTCCATATCTTGTAGATTAGGCTTGTGTCAGAAACTTATTGTTTTGCTTGGGCAGAGCAAATAGAGCAGGGCCTTTAGGTCAAAGATGGACAATTCATCACGCTACATATCCCCCCTTTTCAAGGGCACGGTGATCCGTCAGAGACCACCTGGCGTTGAACAACAGAGTCCTGGAGGGTCTCCGTCGAGAATGCAAGATGTAATTTCCCAGGCAGAGGCCAAAAGTATATAATTTCCTTTGGGAGAGGATAAATCCTTTTAAGGCGGTTAATCAAAAGTCAGCAAATCATGAATATGTCCTCAGGAAGGGAATAAGTCAACAGTAATTTGATCCTTGTAATTGCACTTAGCGTAATCCAGAATAGGAGGAAGACGAGCAGGCAGCAGATCCGGTCCCAGCGAAGGAAACATCCCAGCAGCAATAGCCGGAATCCACAGACGTCCAGGTCCAACGAGCCGGAACACCAAGCAGCAGTAGGATCCGAAGACGAATCATAGGCCAACCCGGGAATCGAGGATCATCTGTGAAACTCAGTAGAGGAGAGAAAGCACAACACAGGGCACTTCAATGTTGACACGACAAGATTGTGTCTAATGTAAATCAGTAAAGAAAAAGAAACCTGGCACTCTGTGTACCTGTATGTACTATGTGAAGCAATTTTGTGAACAGACTTCAAGTGAAGAAATGAATGCAATACACTATGTGTACTGGAAAAAGTGGTGTAAAGGAATAAAGTAACAAAACCCTTATACTATATTTATGGGAGAAATCACGACACTGAGTAAAAATGTCATCAAAATGAAGGGCAAAAATGGTAGTAGCCCATTACTGTTAAATTAACAAAGTTAATCATAAAGTTTTTAAAACTTAATCAACTGTAAGTAAAATAATATAAAAAGATAGCTATATGAGTGTCGAAAAGCACTAAAATGTAAATCAGTGAAGTTAGTAATCAACCTATATGTGAATATAACCCATAAGGAATTAAGATTAGTGAAAATAAAACAAATTTGGATAACACATGTTGAGGGTCTGACCTCATGAGGAAATTACTATGCAGTGATTTTCTCCAAAATGACTGTGCTTAAATTGCTCTGAAAAGCAAATAATCACATCAGCGCCAAGAAACTTCATTTCCCATGATGCTTTGCACACGGAAGCATTGTGATGACGTCACCGCCTAATACCAGAAACACGATCTGCGGGAGGCGGGAGCTTGGACAGCTTTCCCGCGACTTCAAAGACTATAAATCATGAATGAGACAAAGAAACCTCGTTCTTTTGCCCAGGATACCTGGCGGTAAGGACACGCTTGTCGAACGCTCCGACAACTTGAGCACGCGGAAGCTCTAAGTGCCCAAGTTGTTGAGCCACGCAACTGCTGGAAACTACACTCCAACTCCATCAGGACCTGACTGGGAACGAGCGGAGCTCCATCCAGCTCTCAGAGACGCTGTAAGTTGTCAAACTCAGCACAAAAGAAACTTCGTTCTCTTTGTGTCCAGCCCGTGGAGAAACACTCGTGGAGGTAAACAACGGAGAAAGCATCAAACCGACGGACGACGCCAAACTGCGGAGAAAACACGGAGAACCGTCAAATCAAACAGCTGGGGACGCCTTGCTGTTCTGTGATCAGAAAACTCATTTTTCTCTCTCCTTTTCTCCTCCCGTTTCCTCTATAGTCCAGAATAAGCAATAAAACCGCGCTATTGCTTAAAAAGTAGCTTCGCGTCTTCCTCTTTCGCTCCCAAAACACGTCCGCCGGGTCATTTTGAATAAATAAACTGCTTATTGATCATTGTTTGGTATCTTTAAATGTTTTCGGCCATGGCCAGGCTGATAAACTAAAAGATATTAACTTGTGATTAATCTTTTGTGTTGTTTCATGATCCTTTGTAATGTTTTGAGTGATTTAAGGTTAAGTTACTACTGATTCTAAGTGCTTTGGAAGTTAAAGTGCATGTTGCCACCCACACTTTAGCCAGACAAAGGGGTCAGCCATCTTGCATACAGACTCCATTTTAGAAACACACACACACATACATATACACAAAACACCTTGAACATTATTTTGAATATACATCCTTTTATTATATCACATGGTTATTATTCATTTATGCCACTGTTTATTCATTTGACAAATTGTTAATTAAACGTTATAAAATTCAGATTTTCGTCTCCAGTAGCTTTGTTGTGTCGAAGAGAAGTCTCTGCTCCAAGGATTCTACGAACTTCAAGAAAGACTGATAAGAGTTTTGGATTCAAATTTTCCCCGGTTGAAGGGGAATGGTGCCCCGTATATCTAAGAATATCTTAATTAATTAATAAATCAGTAAATATTCCCATATTTACAGAATTTATTGAAGAATCCAAAAGTAAGTTAAAGCTTACGAATTGTTCGCTCCTAATAACCCCAACACACAACAGTATGTGAAATTAAACCCTTTTACGGTTAACTTACTGATTACCTGACTTCAGGAACCCACAGCATGACCATCTCAAATCACCCAAGTCTGCATGTCATGTATAAACAGGAAAGACGACCATGCACACACACAAACATAGACAAACTTGTGTAACTCGAAATAGAGAACTATGGAACCAATGAGGTATGAAATCACCCCCTTTCGAAGTCAGTAAGTTGTTGGTGGTAGCATTGTCCAAGTTAGTGGAACCCTTGTGCGGTTTGATTTGGTCCATGTGGACCCATTTATAGACGGGCTCCTTGTTTGTTTGGGCAGTCTTGATCTGACACACGACTGGAGAGAGCTTAGCATTTATATGGGCCTGACCACTTCGGCAAAAGTTTTTTAATCAGCTTACCAGAGGTGCTCTTTGTGTTACCGGTTTTAGGGGCGAAGATGTAGAACCAGGCCTCATCACCTATGTTGAGTTCAGAATGTGAGGCCTTCTGATCATAATAAGCCGTCCTGCCCTCAGCTGATTTCTCCAGATTTGTCTGTGCAAACGAAAACGCTGCAGGCAGATGGTTCTTCAGGTCCTGCAAATATTGTTCGCTTGTGTAAGCTGGGTCAGCCTCGGACTGAACTGGCTGGTACAGCAGGTGAAGTGATAGGGTCATCTGTCTACCTGTCATCATTTCAAATGTGGAGACGCCTGTAGACTCATGAGGGGTGGCCCGTATGGCCATGAGGACCAACGGAAGCTTCACATCCCAGTCTCAGTGATTAGAGGACACGTACTTCCTCAACATGCTGATAACCATCCGGTTCATCCTTTCGACCTGGCCAGAAGACTGGGGGCGATGGCTAATGTGGAAATTAGCCTTCACACCCAACAGTCGCCAAAGATGTTCCATCACTTCAGAGGTGAAGTGAGTTCCCCTATCCGAGTCAACCCGAGTGGGAAGACCAAACCGGACGAAGATGTGATTCATCAAGACAATAGCTGTTGTTTGTGCCGTGTCATTAGGTGCTGGTAGACATTCAACCCACTTAGCGAATGCACAGGTTACGGTCAAGACGTATTTATTACCCCTGCTGGACCTGGTCAGAGGCCCCACCCAATCAAATTGCAAGTCCGACCACGGTGTGAATGGTCCCTTTCTCTGTAGGGGAGCTCTGTGTGCGGGGTTGGATGGCTGAAACTGACAACAAACCAAATAATGCTGGACGTAGTCTGAGACGTCACAACGCATCCCCGGCCAATAAGCAACCTGGCTCAGGGCACCGAACGTGGCCTTGACACCTTTGTGTCCGGCGGAGGGAGAGTCATGAGCTTGTGTGATCATGCCCCCCCTTAGTGACTGTGGCGCCACGAGGACAGGTGGCAAAGGAGGCTTGGAGGTGTGCATCAGCAACCCTTCAACCATTCTCAGCGTGACACCAACACGAAAGAGAGCACGGAGCTCAGGAACGGAGTCCAGCTTGACGGAAGAAGGCAGATGAGTATTAGGATCAGCAAGGTACAGGATCATCCTGCTTATAGCAGGGTCCTGGGACTGAAGACTGACAAGATCGTTACCAGAAAAGACAGGTTGAATGGACACCACACCCTCGGATGGTTTGGAGGTGGACGCATTAGCGGCCTGAGCTCGAGTCACCACACACAGGAGTGGGTCAGACCGAGAAGACACATCTTCAGGGAGCCACAAGGGATTGTAGACCCATGGGGTACCATCGGCCGCACCTTGTTTGGCAAGAGAGTCCTCAAGGTCGTTCAGATCCTTGTCAGTTTTGGGTGCACGAGAATGTCCTTGGACTTTACGCCAATAGATGTGCATGTCATGTGACGTCGCTAGGGCGTCACAAGCCATGAAGAGGTCCTGATGATTAACGGGCTTCTGGTTAGAGGTCAGGAACCCGTTACTCTTCCAAGAAGGTAGATGACAAATGAAACTGAGGCGTGCATAGTCCAAGTCGGTGCAAATCACCAGCTCATGGACTCCACGGTCCACAGCAAGTTGTAGTACTATCAAGATCCCAGCCACTTCTACAAATTGTGAGGTCTTAGGACCCAACCAGTAACACCGGGAGTCCTTCTGGTCAGCGTGCGACCAGAAGACACCCATGCCTGACCTAGGCGCATCACCGTGTCGAAAAGAACTGCCATTGACGTACACGGGTGGCAAGTCCACACAGAGAGACTGGTTGAAGTAGTGGTGGTAGGGGTTTAGAAGAGACTGAGGAGGGCTAGCTGGCAGGACTGACATGACAGCGTTGTCCGAGCAGTGTTGGCACGCAGCCAAACCCATGTCAAGAGTGTTACAGCAGTTCTGGGCGTAGCGTACTTCAATGTCGAAGCTTTGAAGAGCCAGCAGCCATGACGCGATTTGTGCATTGGTCACCACACCATCTCTGATGCGCTGACTGTTAAGGAAGGTCACTAGCTGATGCTGAGTTTCAATGATGATTTTCTGTCCACCGATTTAGCTAGAAAAGTGTTTCACCGCCCCATATGGTGGAAAGCAAAGCTTTTTCACAGCCACAGTACTTTAACTCAGGACCGGACAAGAGCTTACTAGCATAGGCTACGACACGCCTGTTGCAGTCATATACTTGGTTGAGACCGGCACTCAGTGAGATGAAAAACCAACCTCAAGGTGGAACTCCTTGTCACAGTCGGGGAGCGCCAAGCACGGAGCTGAGCATAACGCGGCCTTCAGATCATCCATGGCCTGTTGCTGCTGCTCAGTCCACTCGAAAGGCACACCCTTCTTCAGTAGGTTAGTCAGAGGTCTCGCTATCTCAGCGTAGTGTTCTACGAACTGGCGCGAGTAGTTGCACACACCGAGAAAACTCCGAAGTTCGGAGACATTCGTAGGAGGTTTGATGGTGGCCACGCCTTGAATTCTGCCAAGTTGAGGCCACACTCCCTGTGGTCCCACAAGGAGGCCAACAAACTGAACCTTTGACCTGCACCACTGACCTTTAGCGAGAGAAATCTTTGCACCAGCAGCTGTGAGCTGACCCATGACGTGGTCCAGCTCAGACAGGTCGTCATCCAAGGTATGCTTACGAACAAGAATGTCGTCGACATAGATGAGGGTACCTCGCTCTTGAGCATCAGGGCAGGCTTTGTCCAAGAAGATGTTTAACTCAGCTGGTGAGTCGGAGTAGCCAAAAGGACACCAAGTGAAGGTGTACTGGCGGTTGGCAGAGGAGAAGGCTAGTTTGTATTGGTCAGACTTATGGACAGGGATTGTCCAGAATCCAGACGCAATGTCAAGGGTGGAGAAGTATTTAGCGTCTTTCACTTTCGGGAGTTCTTGTTCCAAGCGGGCCATCGGCCACCTAGACAAGGGAACCTGTTTGTTGAGTTGTCTGTAGTCAATGGTCAGTCGCCACTTACCATTAGATTTCTTTACTGGCCACAAGAGAGCTGAGTAGGTGCTGTTACAGGGTCGGATGATCCCTTTCGCCAAGAGGCTATCAATGATTTCCTGGACTGGTCCGTGGGACGCCAGGGGAATCTTGTACTGACGCACAAAAGTCGGCGCAGCGTGTGGCAGTGTAGGAATCCTGACTTCATGGATAGTGGTTAGTCCAAGGAGTCGAATGAAAGAGAGTCTTTTTAGTTTAACAAAAGTTGCCGTAGCTTGTCTCGCTCGACATCTTCATCTCATTCTTTTGGTCACTGCCCAAAACTTGTGACCAAAGATAAGGGTAGGAACGTAGATTGTCAGGTAAATTGAGAGCTACAGCTACTGCCAAAAGCGGCTAGCACTGAAGAAGACTACAGGAGTGGTTGAAACTGTCAGCAAAAAGGTAAAACAACCCTTTTATGTGTTAAAAACAGAACCAAATAAGGCAATCACCTGTAAATGGTTTAGGAAGGTTTTTCTCAGACAAGTGAAAAGCAAGTAGTCTAAGCGTGAGGAGATGAAGATGTGGATAACCGTCTCAAGTTCAGAGTGGAACAGAATGGGGCTTATCCTACCAATGTTCCTGAGATGAAAGAAGGAAGAGCAAACAAGAGATCTGATATGATAATCCAGGGTGAGAGCTGGGTCAAAGGTCACACCAAGATTCCTGACAGAGGGTTTGGTGTGAGAAGCAAGCTGACCAAGATGCAATATACACAAGAGCAACAGATGTTTTCTTCTGTTCAGTCCAAAACCCAAACTTGTGTTGTAGTAACAAAAGGTCAGAGTTCATGAGCCTGACATTTCAGGAAAGGAGCTATTAGCTTTATCAAGGTTTTGAGGCTGCCTAGTTAATTGCTCGAAGGAAAGAGAGTGAATAGTTGATGCAAAAATTTACTTCCTGAACAATCTGACCCTCATTTCAGTCCCACGTATTAATGTAAACCAATTATGACTTTAAATTTCATTCACTTGTGTTTTAACATTGCTGAATCCTTTACAGTGGGTTTTATTGTTGACTATTGTATTTACCAGGAGGCTTATGAAGAAATAGAATGATAGAAATGGCAAATCCTAGCATTGTGTTCAGGAAATTCAGGTGAAATATATTTGATTGCTCGGATGAGTTGGATGTCTTATATAATAATCAAGCAGAACTTGACTGTGTTGTGCCCTGCTGTTTTAAGCCATTGCTTGTTTACTTTGGCAGCCAACTACCAGAGCCATTAAGTGGTGCTTGTTTTTAAGGAGGAAGAAAACGATTGAAGAAAGGTACTTGATTGCACTTAGCAGTTGCTCTGAAGACGCTTTGTCTTTGCTTAAATTACACTTTGTCTGGAGCTGAATGATGCATTACAACTTTGCTGTTTTCAGCACTTGAATTGTGTTCTGACCTTGGGTGGACCTTGGCCTCGACACATGACAAATGCCTCAGCCGTTATCTGTGAGTATGCGTGTGCCTAGACTTCAATCCATGGATTTCATAAGAGCACTGCCCAGTCCTCGATTAAGCTCAGAAACTGGTGCAACAATGCAGCAAACAAAAGATGTTGCTGCCTGAGGACATGTTGTGTCAAGAAGTGAGAAGAGGACAGGATGCTTTTCACACCTGTACCTATTAGAGCTACACTTTCAGGACAGCTGCTGGTGATTTGACACAATTCAGTACTCACACCTAAAATGAGGATGCTTCCTTGGCGCGACAGGAATGGCATGAATCGACTCCTTGTAAATTGTTACGAGGGTTTAACTGTCTATAGATGGACTCCTGAATAACCCCGAGAGCACAGCGAGTGGTGTGTGTTTGTGTGAACAGAGGGAGGGCGGAAGCAGATGTGTGTGAGAGAGATTCAGAGCTGTGGCTCTATCACAGTGTGCCTTTGTCTAGCTGTAGAAAGTGTTGAATTAAAGGCTGTTGGCACAGGTCTGCACACTCGTATGCTAATGTATTTTCTGGGGGAATTAAAAAAAATGATGGCCCAGAAAACACATCTGAGAGCCTGCTTTACATGCTTCATGCAACACACAAAGTGTGCAAGAAATACTGAAAATAGAGATGGTGTGTGTGTGTGAGAGTGTGTAGAGGGCAGCACCAGAATGAGTGGGTGACACTGTGCAGAAATAGCATTGAAGGAGCTACAGAGAGCTGAAAGCAGAGGGCATTCTTTCATTGCCTTGTTTTTTCCCCTCCCCTCGAGTCTCTGCTCTCAATGCTGCTGCAGGTGATGCTGCGAGACAGATAACTGGACTTAGATTGGGCAAAGAGGCAGAGATTGAGATTTGGCCTGAGAATAAACAAGGGGTGGGGGATTTAAAGGGAAAGAAGCACTGAGAGATTCATACAGAGAGAGAGAGAGAGAGAGAGAGAGAGAGAGAGAGAGAGAGAGAGAGAGAGAGAGAGAGAGCGCCAGCGTCGAGAAGAAGCAGAGGCAGCGGATGGAAGAAGAGAAGAGGAGAGGCATTGAGTGGAAGCGTACACATGGACAAGAAGAAGCCTCTATTTCATGTGCTCAGCATGCGAGACTGAAGAGTGCAGCTGTCTGGATGGATTGTTAGAATTTTCCGCACTACGGTTAGAGGAAGCACATAGATACAGTGGGAATATCGAGCTGGGTGCAGAAGATGAACAGGCGATGTGGACTCTGTGGCTGTGATCGCCATCCTCAGACCTTGTAGCCACTTACGCTGGTGCTGCTGCAGGCCGTTAGCCTCACAGTTGATGCAGAATGAGCTCCAAGCATTCCGCCGACTGGATCCCTTACAGGTACCGCACTCATGAACACACGAAACAGCACAGAGCCAGAGCTGGGGTTCAGCGTGTGTGTGCGTGTGTGTGTTTGGTTGTGTCAGTGTCTGACAAGGAGATCAGACCGATGAGGAGAACACGGCAGTGATCAAATCAAAGTGTTGGACACTGGATTTCTTTCTTTTTTTATTTATTTATTTTTTGCTGTGCTAAGAATAAAATGTGACTGCAGCAGATGTTTTTATAGTTTTGCCTGCAGAATTTACTTATTAAATTGATTTGTTATTTCATCTATCTATCTATCTATCATCTATCTATCTATCTATCTATCTATCTATCTATCTATCTATCTATCTATCTATCGATCTATCGATAGATAGATAGATAGATAGATAGATAGATAGATAGATAGATAGATAGATCTAGATATAAATATCCATGTCTCTCTCGCTACACACACACACACACACACACACACACACACACACACACACACACACACACACACACATATATATATATATATATTAATACATACAGACTCAGAAACCTCCTCAGGTTGTGACATGATAATCTATATAGAACTAAGGAGCTAAATGTCATTATAGATATAAATATGTAGATACGGTATACAGTATCTAGATAAATATGTCTATATAGACATAGATAAAAATAGATAGATAAATCAGATTAAAGGGACTTTACGGAGTTTTGAATTTTTATGCTCGCGATTGCCCCCTCAGGCCAAAAGCATAACAGCAGCTTCAATAGTGCACAAGGCGCACATGCTGTACGTGCACACTCCTTAACGAAAAGAACAGCTGAGACAATCCCATGTGTGTGTGTGTGTGTGTGTGTGTGTGTGTGTGTGTGTGTGTCTGTGTGTGTGTGTGTGTGTGTGGCCCGGAGGACAGGACAACGTGCAGCTAATTAATTACATAATTTGGTTCTGTACCTTTCTCTTCAGCACAGCTGACAAAGGTTTATGATGGGTCAGTCCTCCTGCATGCTCAGATCATTCCCTTCCCTTGCTTGAAAAATTGTTCCAAAATGAAAGTTGAACCCACATCTTTTTTATCTGTGAATTCAATGCCGTTCGGCGAGTCTCAAATAAAAATTTGGGCATCTTACTGTAAAAAAATATACCATTAATGTAAAAAAGAAAATATGTTCATATCCAGAATCAAACCCGGTTCTTCTGCACGAGAGTCCGCCGTCTTACTAGATGAGCTATAGCACCAGTGACGTCTTTTGTATCTGTAATATTTATATCCTTAATGATAGCTGAAACAATGTTCAAAGAACGGTTTGGAGCGAAAATGGCTATTTTGTTGCTAATTTGCAGAAAATATCTAGAAGAAAGTAGCTAAAGGTCCTCAGAAATGTAACTAGGTTCATCACTAGGCATTAGGAACAGTGACAAAGTCGCTGAGTTGGCACTACCTCACTCTCTGCTGCTAAAGCTACGGATAGCAAATGCTACGGGCTCTGCCTGAGCGTGAACGCGCATGAAGCAGCCTGCTCGACCCGAGCATCTCTCTTTTTCTGTGATTTTACAGAAAAACAGGCAATCACAGTAAAAATGCCAGGGCTCATTCTACAGGACCAGGGCATTGTAGGAGAATGTACGAAGAAGACATTTATTATTTCTATACATGTTTTGGCTGTCAAACTTCCATAATGCCCCTTTAATGTAGCTCCGTAGGTCTATCTAGATTGTGTTTCACTCACTCAGGAGGTTTCTGTGTCTGACAATGTTTTTTACATCTGCAGTCATGTGTGGAGCTTCTGCTGGGCCATGCTGATCCTACCATTTTTAGGTGATATTATTTTTTTGTTAAATAACTGTTTAACTTGAATACTAATGAGCTTACAGCCCCCTGTTGTCAAACCTGTTTCTGCACTAATCATCAAGTGCAGAACCAATGTTGCTGACTCTTGGTTCTGATTAAAAGCCTATCGCCATGGTTTCACCCACTGGTTTTGAGGCCATTGGCTCCTGGTTTCTATAAGATAGTTAAAATCTGTTCTTTATTTTGATAGAAATCAGTCTTTATATCACTACGTTCAAATAAATCCACCTAAATAAAGGATTATTGTTCAGATTATTGTTGGCCTCCTTGTTGGTTAACATTTGCAATAAAATATAATCAATATATTTTTTTAAAAGCCAAGATACAAAAAAGATAAAACTAAAGTAGGCTGCTTAAGGCTAGAGAGATGTCTGGGTGGAGCTGTTGTTAAAAGTGCATGTGCATCTGAGCAGAGTTGGCTCATACAGCTGTACAGAGCATGGATTCATAAAAAAATCACCATAATGAGGAGAGCATATCTCGGAAACGCACGCTTCCACAAAGAGGCAGCCATCATTGCACAATGGTTACCTCTCTGTAGGGAGCAAATTCACCAGATTAGCTGTTTAAGCATTAGAGGACTAAATCTCTTGCTCTGGCTTGTCTCTGGCAGGAAGGAGATGTCAAACTGTTAGCTCTTGTCCCAGTTCTATTTTTTGGTCCATTCGTTCAAAAATCTTAGTGGAAGAAATAAGTAGGATCTAAAGAGTGTAGGCATTATTATTTTTATTCCTTCAAGGTCAATTTGCATCTGTGGAGTGCACATCAGATTAATTTTCTCTTCACGCTGGAGAATTTCATGGCTGACACCATGCAAATGAAAAATTTATCTTCATTTGGTGTCATTCAGTGACGCGTACTGTGTGAGAGCTGGTGACGTGTGTAAGGCTGTTTTAAAGGTGTTAGTGCCTTTTAATGTTCAAACTCCCACCAACAGTAATAAATTAAATCTGCATTTGAATAATTTCACGATCAGTTTTTATTTCTTTAGTCTAAATGTTTAAATGGGCAGTTTGTAAGAACTCTACAGTGAAATAATCACAAACAGTGTCATTTTCATGTTGGAAGGTAAACCTTCAGCCAAGTCTGAGGTCTTAGCAGTCAGAAGGGTCTTATCCGGGATATCCCTGTATTTGGCCGCATTCATCGTTCCCTTGATTGCAACCAGTCATCCTGTCTTCGCAGTTTTTCTTTTTTAATAAATCTGCATATATTTAAAAAATTCTGTGTTTTTCTGTCAATATGGGGTGCTTTGTGTACATTAATGAGGAAAAAAATTAATTAAATTCATTTTAGCAAATGGCTGCAATATAACAAAGAGTGAAACATTGACAGGGGTCTGAATACTTTTCGTAGCCACTGTATAAGCACACTATTGCCAATCAACAAAAATATAATCTGACATGTTTCCTACTCTGTACACTCACCACTGCTCAGTGCTAAATCACACATGCGATCTTCCATATGGGAGTTTTTACTTTCAGAATCAGAACTTTTCTAGTTGTCTTTTGTATGTTCTTGGTGTGTTTGTCTTCAAATTCCATTTTTGGTTCCTTTTTTAAACACAGATAAGGTTTTTTCTTTACCTTGCTGACGTTTCGTTTGCGGCTGCAAACATCCTCAGAGCTGATGCTGATGCTGGCGTCACTTCCTACTCCGTTTATCCACGAGCAGCAGAGGACGTTGTCGCCCTCTGCTGCCCGCTCTCCCCTCTCCGATGATGCAGTCCCATGCACGATCCAATAAGTAAACTCCATCGTCTCTGTTCGTGTTTACTTATTGGATGACACGGAGGTTCTACCGGTCCTATTGACCCTTTGCACCGACGTCACGTAATCACGTGGGTCCACCATGGTGGACGGCAAAAGCATGTAAACAGTGAGCGACACGATTACTAAACAAAGGGAAAAGTAGAGCCTGAAATTGTTTTTGCGATCAAAACAAAAACAAAACTCCTCCAGCATTCCTTCAACTAGTTCATGCCCAGTTCAGTTATCAGAAGAAGTAGCGCATCTAGCGGGGGCTCATAGAGAGCGGTACGTTAACTAGCTTACCAACGTTAGCTTACGTTCTCTCTGCAGCTGTTCACCGATGTAAACATGTTGCTGACTTTGCCTAAATTCACCCCTCTGGATTTATAACTTTATGTTGTAAACAGTGTTTCACTTTACACCAAAGCTGATTTTTAAAAAGTCCGGATCCCTACCAGCTTCTGTTGCTGGTGGTGTTACCGGGCTCAGCTGCTGCTCTCTCACCGGATTGAGAAGACCTCTGAACGGTGACGCTCATATAAATAAATAACGTAATTTTAACACACGTAATTATACATCAGAGCTTTAATATTGTTAATAATTGTCTCGCTTTACGCTACAGTGGACGACGAGCATCCTCCGTAGTGAAATACCCATCCATCAGGATTATCAATAACTTGTATAAACACATCACATTTATCCCTGTCCCTGTCTTCCTTTTGAAATAAATGAACGTTAATCTTACCCGGTAAAAACATGTTCGCTACAAATCTGAGGACTGCTAGTCCGCTTGATTGATTGATCGCTGCAGTTCATCTCCGTCCTCAGTCTCCATCAAAGTTATTAAAAAGAAAAAACGAGTTGAGTTTACGTCCTTGTCTCAGTGCAGCCAACCACGCAGCAAGCTAAACCATTTTACTGTCAAATCTACTAAATAAAAGCGATAAAAGGCTACAAACTGGCTTGTTTTGACTACCTTCACTGGAGTTTCTACGGGTGTAAATGGTCTTTTTGCCGTCCATCATGGCGAAGGGGGCGGTCACATGAGTGGCGTGACGTCACGTGCAAAGGGTCAGTTGGAGGTTGAAAAATGGGGATCATCTTTTAGATTATATCTGTGTGTGTGTGTGTGTGTCTGATAGCTTTCACAAATTATTTGTTTATTCCTTTACCGGAGCTAACAATGTTAGTGCTGCGGCAGTCATGCTAACGGGACTCTGGAGTACCGGTGCGGTTCTAAATGGATTAATAGATGTAGGTTACAGGGGCGGGGTTAGGCCTGACTACTTGGGCTCAAGCCCCGAATGTTTTATGAAAAGCCCCGGATCTAAAACGCGGAAGTAACATGCAGTACCAAAGTCCAACAGAGAGGGAGCAGCTAGCAGTATTTTGTATACAGCCTGCCTGAGCCTCC